TATATATATAGATATATAGATATATATGTATATACGGTTCATACAGGTACAGCGAGCGTGCATGGATTCGTTGTATATACTGTCATGTATAGAGATCTCCCACCCTTGTGAGATTCGCTTGCCTTTTTCGAGCTGTCGATCGCTCGCACAGCTAAATCAACAAACGGAAACTCAGTCATAATAAATGCAGCCCGCCATCGCTCGCTCCTTCGTTTGTCTCCGCGCCGCCACGCGATTCCCGATTAATATTTAATCCTTCGCGCTCGAGGATGCGCCGAGTCGCACCTCCCCCCCCCCCCNCCCTCTCTCACTATCTTTTCCCTGCGTTTTTTAACGGATTCGCGATTCTTCCGTTCGAGATCGATTCGACGAAAGTGTCCCTCCCCCTTCCGAGCTACCCGATCTCATTCCGACGATGTGATTTAAAGATATAATTTAATTATAATAATTAAACGTAATTTGGAGGATTTTGTCGCGCGACGAATTAGCGGTGGAACGCGACGATGACCTACGGCGCCGGAGGGAGGTTCCCCTCTCGGAGCGCACTCTCACTTCGGTGGAGTCCCGCTCCGGTGGGGGGGACAGGTCTTCGTCCGCGTGGACGGTCACCGTCGCGCGTCCGCGTGGAAAGAGGCGAGTCGTGCGCGGGGAACGGGTCCGGAGTGCGACGTGCGCCGGGAGGACTTGCGTCCGCCAGACGTGCCGGAGGAAGATGTCCTGCGACCGAGGCCTGCGGTCGCGGGACACCCGTCGACTTCCGGCACGAACCGAGCGCGAGCCCCACGCGGCTTCGATCGCGCCTCCAGGAGCGAGTCCCCGATATATCGATCGCAGTCGCGCGGAAGGATCGCGCGGACGACCGGGACGCAGCGTACGCCTGCGTCGCGGTCGCGACGTCGTTCCTCCCGTCGTCGGCCTTGACCGTCCTGCCGAGAGATCCCGTCCGCGATTCCGATTTTATCTCCTCGATTTCAGAAGGATGAATCCTTCTCTCTCTCTCTCTCTCTTTCTCTGTCTCTTTCTCACTCGCTCGAGCGGCGGCTGCATGGAGGATTGACGAACAAAAACGTGAGAGAAAGAGAACACAAACGGACACGTGTGGAGGGGCGGAAATGAAGAAGAAGAAGAAGCTGCGCCTATAAAACGTAGACACATAATATCTGTACATATGCATGAGGTCGATCGATCGATTCATCCACCAGTCAGTCAATCAAAAGCAATTGACGAGAGGGCTCAGCCGGGCGATCGGGGGGAACGGGGTAGGGGGAGCGGGGGCGAACGGGGCGAATGTTTGACTGAACGAAAAAACGCAAAGGCAAGTCGTGTCTTCGGCAGAGTTGCGTGTCGTTGCGTGAGCAGAGAGAAGTTCACTTGTGGAGTTTCTTTTTTTTTTTCCGGGCGGGTGCGGGAGGATCGACGACCGGCTTCTCGTCGATTCTCCGCGCGGGGAGTCGCCCGATTACGCGTTCGATCAGGAGCCGAGCCAATTCGAAGGAAGCGGCGGTAACGCGCTCGTCAATCGGCGTTCCCGCCGATTTCTCTCGTGGATGAATGAATTTTCAGGTTCGCGCGCCTCCCCAGTTCGAGGGAAGGCCCGGTCGGAGAGAAAGGACACCGGCGCGCCTCGGTCGAGGCCCGATTCGTTTTCTTTGCTCGAAGAGGAGAAAGCTCCGAGGAGCGGAAGATCCTGAGGGGGACTCACAATGATCGGCGACTCCTTTCTATTCACGCGCATGTTATGTGTGTGTATATGTGCGTTTACGTTTGTTTGTACGCGCGTGTTTTCATATGTGTGTGTGCGTGTGTAATATATAAAGACAAAGGTCAAAGGTCAATGTACGTCTCGAACCATTACAACAATGTCATAATAATCTGGTTTAGAACAGTGTGGTTATCATAGGTGGAATTATTACGAAACACCGAAACTGAGAGACTCACAAGCAGGAAGAGGAGGGTGTTTTCCTTCGTTTAGAGTTGACCGATCTCACGTTAACATTGCGCATCTGGTAGTCTGCAATGCAAAACACACTTTGGTAGGGTCAGGGACGGACGACGGCCTTCGACGAGATGACGAGAAACGGAAGGCGACCTCTCTCCCTCCCTCTCTCTCTCTCTCTCCCTCTCATTCTTGACCTGCGATCTTTCGCTCTCTCTTTCTTTCTCTCTCTCTCTCTCTCTCTCTCTCTCTCTCTCACTCCCCCTCCCTTTCTCTCTCTCTCGTTCTCTCTGGTCGCCTTTGCAGAATTAATTCCGTCGGATTCGCGGAGAAACGCCGTCTGATAATCAAGTGCCGCCCGACCGGTCCGATATGTGAAAATCTTCATTCGTGATCTGTCGTTGAAGTTAGAATCGAACAACACGCGCTGACCAGATTTCCATGCCGGATTTCCGCACGAAGGGTGGCGCGGGATGCGCGCCGAAAAAGATGTTAAAAAAAACATACATATAGTCGTCTCGTTCGTTCATACCGCACGCGGCCGAGAAACGTCACGGATAAAGATTTTTTTTCTTTTTTCTAACGGGAGCGATCGCGCGCACGGCGCTTAATTACCCCGACACCGGTTCTCCCCGGTCGCCGTTCCTCGTTGCCGCGCTTTTCTCTTCTCCGTCCTGCACTCTCCGTTCCTCTCTCCCTCTCTCTCTCTCTCTCTTTCTCTCTCGTTCTCTCTCTATTTTCCTCTTGCTTTCTCTCTTTCTCTTTGTCTCTACTTTACCCCGACTCCGTCTCTATCTCTCACCCCATCTCTGTCTCTTAGGTCGGGGCGGCGCGCACAAACCCTCTTTCGTCGTCGTCGATTTTCTCTTTCGCGCTCCGCCGCCCCCGCCGCGGTGGAGAAGCGACGAACCGGCTTTGGCGGGTGTATCGCGACGAGCCCCGCTCGATAACGATTACATAATCGCGCGGAAGCTCGCATCGCGATATCCACGCATGCCGGTTCGAGCTTTAAAACGACGACTGCCGACGGGGAAGCCTTCGAGGAGCCCGGAAACGTTTGATTCGGTTCGCCGGCACAAATTAGCCGGCATTCGCGACCTCCTCGCGAATTCTTCAATCGGATCGGATGAATAATTAAGCTCTCCGAATGAATGATAAACGATTGGTCAATCGGTTAGTCAATAATAAACGGATGAGAATGAAAACAAATAAGGAATCGATCAGGATGAATGCCGGTCGCGATAAACCGTATCCTCGCTCGCTCGCTCGCTCGCTCGCTCGGCTGACCGAGCGCGACCGTAACTCCTTGATTCGCGTCCGGCCATTGCGCGGCAGTAACTCCTCGCCGGCGGTCCGGCCATGCGCGGCTGTAACTCCTTACTTAAACCGCGGGGCATCCCGACGGCGCATCGTCGCTCTCTTCTCCTCTCTCCCTTTTCCGTTCTTTTTCCTCGGCGGGGGCGGAGGTGGACGGGCATCGAATTAGCGGCGAGAAAGAGAAATATCGCGCGGGGACGTAATGGTACGGAGACGTTAGATATCCGCCCGCCATTGAAATAAAGAGGGACGCTGGCTGATCGGAGAGCAAGAAACGCAAATCAAGTGGCCCTCGGCGCGGCCACTCGCCTTCTCTTTCTCTCTGTCTCTTCCTCTCTCATCTCTCTCTCTCTCTCTCTGTCTCTCTCTCTCCCTCTAACTTTCTCTCTTTCTCGCTCTCGCGCGGGTAACCGAACTACGATAGAAGTCCACTCTAAATTCGAAACGAAATCAACGAGCCGAACCGAGCGGCCGCTTCGCGAAAGCGGAGAGAATTCGAGGGTCCTCGTGAATCTGTCCGGCTCGTGATCGGTCAAGCTCTTGATCCGCGCCTTTCTTCCTTTGACGCCCGGCTGGATCCGCAGGATCCGCATGGCCAAGGTGGGCTAACCTCGCGAAGCTACTCGAGGCACGCCCGGTGTACCAGCCCGATTGTAACGAGGAAAGGATCCCGAGGATCCGCAGGACCCCGTCGCGGATCGCCGAGGGATGTTTCTTTCTTTCTTTCCGTATTTCTCGCGAGAATCTTCGCGAGAGGCTCGAGGACCCGAGCGGCCGGGGTCCGAGGGTCCCCGGTAATCCAGCTGCTCGTTTTCGGTGAGACCTCTTCGAGGATCCGCGGGGCGCGGACTCGCTCTCTCTCTCTCTCTCTCTCTCTTTCTCGGTAATCTTTCATCGTAATTGCGCGACAATCGCGTCGTCGTCATCGTTGCCGTCATATATCGTCATCGTCATCGATCGCGATCGTCGACGACGCCTCGGACTTTCGCGTTGCTCCCCGCGGATGCGCCCGAGGACGCCCTGGCTCCTGAAAAGAAAAGCGTTATGTGCCTGCCGACACAGGATGCGGGGGAGCGCGTCTGCTTGTATGAATGCACACGTGTATGTGCGTGCGCTTGTGTGTGTGTGTGTGTGTATTACATGTACATATACACGCATCGGGTCTGCGTTGTTAATGCACGCCGTATTTAGTCCACGCGAGAGCGTGGGATCAGGGATGTAAACGCGGACGTAAGCGGGTATAAAAAGAGCTGAAATATCTGTCGAGTCCGACGATTTGCTCGTCGTCATCCTCGTCATCCTCGTCCTGCGCGTCCATCCGATCGTCGACGTCGGGATGCACATCGCGCGCCGCGCGCATGCACTTGCAGCCGATATATTTTCCGTTCGCCTACGTCGTCTCTCTTTTTTCGCTACGAGGTGGACGATTAAAAAAAAATACCATCCGAAGGGGAGGCTGTGATTCGGCAACGGCAACGGGGGAAGGGGGTGAGAGAGCGATCGAGACGCTTTTTGGGCCAGGACTCCGCGTGCTCCGCGCCGATTAGTCGTCCGGAGCATTATCGAATCGTGCACGCACGGGAGAAAGAGAGAGAGAGAGAGAGAGAGTGAAAGCCGAATCGATACGTCGATTCTTAAAGCTCTCCTTGTATTATTTCCGGAATTATCCCGGTATCGATGTTATAATGTTGTAATCAGACGTGGAATTAAGTTCAACATTCAAGAATACGCTTATTACCTTTGTATCGTTGCTAATTTTACGTAGCCCGCTTTCTTCCTTTTCTCTCTTTCTCTCTGCTTCTCTCTCTCTCTCTCTCTCTCTCTCTCTCTCTCTCTCTCTCTCTCCCCTTTTCTCTTTCTCGCGCATGCAAATTAATTCGCAATCAAAATTAAATAGGTGTTGTTACGAGAAGCTGAACTTATTATATATTATTTAAAATTTATACAGAAATAAAAGCGATAGACTCAAATAAATAATAATTCCAACACTGCTTAGTAAATATTTACTTGTTCCAAACAAAATAATTTCTAATTAAATTATTCAAGTAAAGTGTGTATATTGATTCCAATAAAATTTACTTAATTCAAGTAAAAATTTGCTAAGGAATATTGTAATCATTATTTAGTTAAATCTAGAACTTTTTTCTGTGTATTAATTTTACGCAATTAGAGTATAAAAAGCATGTCTCTCTCTCTCTCTTTCTCTTCTCATCCTTTTCGAAGGAGGAACTACGGCAGCGAGCGCAACTCTCTCTCCCTCATTAACCGACGGATTCCCTCGAAATTAGGCGCGGCGATCGCGACGCGTTTTCTCAGAAGCGTGTGCACGCACGGCGGATATTAATTCACCTGCGGTGTATTACGATCGGCTGGTACGATCGCGCTCTCGCGATCGGCTTTCGCCGTTCTCGATGAAAGCATGCGTGGGAAGAAGCGGCAGGACGGCGTGCCGTGACAAACCGCGATAGCGCGACGATGGAACCTTTTCAAGTTTCGAGTTTTGCGTCTTCAATGCCACCTCTCTCTCTCTCTCTCTCTCTCTCTCTCTCTCTCTCTCTCTCTCTCTTTCGCCCGATTGCTCGCCGCCGCCGCCGCCGTTCAACGTGAGAAGCCGCGACGGCGTTTTAATTAACTGCAAAATTAACGTCCCACGGTCGAATTGTTAATTAAAATCCCGCGGCGACTCATTGAATCGGCCGATCTTTCCGTCTCGCTCGTGTAACGCGAGAGCGCATCGAGTCGACGCGTCACGAACGAGACGCGTCGCGAACAAACAGTCGGGCAAACAAACCGTCCGGAGAGTGTCCGTCATTGTCGTCTTACCGGATCGAAAATACGGCGGCGTTGGAATAAAGTTGGGACTGTTTTTCCGAGTTCCTCCGCGCGCCACGCGCGACCCGGTTATTTTCAGCGGGAGGAAGGAATAAAAAATGAAGGCTCGCGTCCGTCACTCGCGATTCGAGCCCGGATGATTACTGGCCGTCATTTCGCCGTTTCAGCGTTTCGCGGAAAAATATCTCTCCGCGGGGATGTAATCGCGCGAGCGAGCGAGAGGGAGATATCTCACTCAGTCCAAGATGCACCGCGAGGCACCGGAGCCGTTGCGTTTAATGCATTCATTTATGTTCCAGCCGATCGCATTAATCTCCTTGCTCTCGACGTTCGCTCCTCGGACGCACGCGTGAACGGCCGGCACAAAGGCATCGCTAAACGCGTTTTAATTATTGAGATAACGCGCGCCTTTGAGAGTTTTCTCGCGATCCGGACGAAGGGAAAAAAGGAGAACAGGAGGGGGGAGGGGGAGAGAGAAAGAAATTGTTAATCCACGGCTAACCGAATGCAAATTGATCAATTAATTAGCCGCGCCTTCGACAGAGGTGGCTTCAAACGGCGAGACTATCGCGCGATTTCACCCGATGAAGAAATTTCCGCAGGAAGGTTTATCTTCGCTTATCATTACCCTTTTTGCCGAGTTATTTGCGATTATCGTTGCGCGCCTGCGACGACCCGGATCGCCCGGACGATCGTCCCGAGAATTCAAGGATTTACGCAAATTCGTTTGACGCTAATTTTATCCTCCCGCCAGACTAAGGGCCTCGGCAGAACGGTTGTCTTTTCATCTCGAGACAATATTTGATGCCCTAAATCGTTATCTAAATTATCATTCGCTTATCTCTTCTCTTTCATCGTACAATGGTTTGTCATCGATCACGAAACGAACGCGGCTTTTTCGACACAAGACAATTATTGTTACTTCA